GTGAGTGAGTGAGTGCGTGGGTGGGTGAGTGAGTGAGTGAGTTGGGCGAGGGAGTTGAGTGAGTGAGTTGGTGTTGTTGGTGGAGGTTGTTGGTGGACGAGTGAGTGAGCTAAGTCGTCAGTGAATTGATGTTGTTGGTGGACGTTGTTGGGTGGATGTTGCGGGAGGAAGGAGGAGGAGGCGAGGAGCGGATACAGCACTATACAGCATGTCAATGTGGAGAAAAAAAGGCATGGGCTCGAGGAAAAGATCGCTACGACCTCGAACCGGAGGATGTGGCAGTGACCGTCATGCTCCGGATTCCCACGCTCAAGTGCACCACTCCACTATGTGAGAATAAAAATTGGGCAGGATCACTCAAATGTGATTTTCTGCAAAAACACATCTTGCTGTTGGCCTGATGCAATAGTGGCAACGGAGGCGGAGTGATTGCTCCGGAACGACCAGTAGAAGCAAACTCGCAATTTGCGCAAAATGTGCGGATGAGCACTTTGAACAGCACCAACATCCCCTCATGAAAAAGGTTGACTCGGCCTCCACCGTTCAAACTACGGACAAGCAATGGCAATACCACACATAGGTCTTGCTATGGTTTGGTGCAGGCTATGCAGGTGTCCCGGGTACCGCCCGGCTTCGGCCAGGGTCGGCGGATTTTCAACAAAAGAAATGGGAGCTAGTAGCGTCCTTGCTCCTAGTAGTAAGGCCAGGAGCCCCTAGTAGCGTTCTTGTTACTACTAGTAAGGCACTTGTTACTAGAAGCGATGCCCTTTGCTCCTAGTAGCGTCCTTGCTCCTAGTAAGGCCTTACCCTTCTTTGTTCATCTCTTGTTCTACGTTTCCCTTTAGAAAGTGGTGCTAATCAAAGCTTCTTCTCAGTTCGGCCGCACAGGTGCTGCCAACAAAAACCGCCTGCGTGCGGCCGTGGCCTGGTGAGAGGCCCCAGTGGAATCCTTCACTGCAAAAAGGTGGCCTCCAACCCTACTAGCGATGGCCTCCACCTTAGTAAAAACTAGAAAGTAATTTCGCATCTAGAAAAACTGGCTAGCCTCGAGTTCTACATGTTTTCTTACCCCATGCTTGCCTGAATGTCGAGGGCATCAGCCTATAACAGTTTCCTAGTTCTCCAACCTAATAGCAATGGCCTCCAAGTTGTTCTTGTTACTCCAACCTAGTAGCGTCCTTGCTCCTAGTAGCATGCTGAGGTTTGGAGAGTTCTCCAAGAAGCTCTCTTCTTTCCCGAGCCTCCAATACGACCGCCGGAACTCCGATGGCACACCCTGGTGCCTCCCGCGGCCGTGTGAATTTGGCCCTTTCGGCACCACATGATTTTGAGATGACCTCCAACCTAGAAGCAAACTAGGACCTAAGACCTTCGCTACTAGGAGCAAGGACGCTACTAGGGGCTCCTGGCCTTAAGAAGCTACTACTAGACCTTTCTTCCTTTTCTAATAGCGATGGCCTGGTGGAGGCCCAATAGCGATGTGGCCATCACATCACATTGTGCCATTGTGCCATGTGGTGCTGTGGTCACTTTGTGGTCTTGCTTTGGCGCAGTGGGAGTTGAGACAGGTATGGTGACTTGGGGAATATCCTCGAAGTGAAGGACCGGCTCAAGTCATGGCCCCAGGGGTCAAGTCATTGCTTTACTGCCCTTGGAGTAGTTAGTACTTAGTACTTAGTCGATAGTAGTTGATCGCTATGCACTTAGTGGTGCGCAGTGTTTGCTGGCAGCTAGTAGCTAGTAGTTTGCAGATAAGATAGTTGTGGTAAGATATTGTTTGAAACATCATTTCGCCTGTACAAAGCAACATCTGAAAACTGCTGAGGTGTAAGTCTTTCGCTTGGTTCATGCATCGCTTCAAGCACGTCTATGAGGCCAATGGACGGCTGGGGGGGAAGCCAGGTGAAGGGATGCGAAGATTTCGAAGGCACCTGTTACTACTAGCGTGGCACTTGTTACTACTAGCTTCTTGTTACTACTAGTAAGGCACCTGTTACTAGTAGCGTGGCAATGCCTAAAGCTAATGACGTGCAAAGCAAAACGCTAGGCTGTTCCCCAGAAATGGAAACACCAAGGAAATTCCATCAAGGCTACGGAAGCGCAACCAATCTTTCAAGGGCAGCAAACAAATGAGACACATTGGCAATTTTTGCAGTTGTGCTAGTGTCCTTTCAGACTAGGCCAGGCGGACCCCATCATGATTGACTCAGTTTTAAACACTCTCCATTCAAAATGAGGCTTAGGGTACTAGTGCGTCAAGTTGTTTGAAACTTACTAGTTAACTTTCTGGTCAGGATTTATGCTTTCCGTTTTTTGAGTGGAAGATGGTCTGATATGTGTTTTGCCTTTTGGTCCATGCTCGAACATTGATATCGCACACATGACTGAATCTGAAATCCCGTGTTTTGGTGTTGCACTCTGAAAGCGTTGCTTGGCTGAGCGCAGCTGTTTAGGATGGAGGTCTGATCCCGCGGGAGACCTTCACCCTCAAAGATGGCAGCGGCACCTTGGATTGAGCTCCGTTCCCAACCTACTAGCGATGGCCTCCAAACCTAAGAGCAAAGGCTTGCTGTACATGGGAAAGGTGCCATCGATATTCAAGCTGTAACTTCCTTCAATCCGTTTGGTTCATTTAGACTGATTTTGTCTTGCCATTGGCATTAACCACCTGCTAGTCGCAGCTCCAGACATGACAGTCCAATGTTCTGACTTAGGGTCGGAATTGAAAACATCTAACAAGATATGAGATAACAATAACAAATATAGATTTAGAAAAAATACACTAGAACAAAAAACACATAGATTCATGTATTTTCCATTATATACCCGTTTCCTCCAGGCATAGATTCATGTAGAGAATGTAGACCGCTTTCAGCAGAGCTGACACCCTCAGCTTTTAGAACATTCCTCGGTCATGCCTGTGGATGTCAAATTTGGGCGAACGGCTTTGGAGAAATGTTCACGAAGCCAAGCTTTCAACGGGAAGAGGAATACTGTAAAGGACAAATCAATGATTCTCAACCACGCATAAAGAGGTACATTGATTTGGCTTCGAATCTTTAGGATTTGTTCCTTGGAAGCTGTCGCCTGAGGTCATTGCTTAACCTACCAGGGGGAAGCGGGGTCGGGGGCCCAGAACATCAAGTACATCGGAAAGTGAGGAACGATGAGAAGGGAACTGAGCATTGTCATTTTCTCCTGTAGACTTTGAGACCTTCCCAAAAAGTTGACAATGCTTCCAGACAGCTTGAAAAACTCAAGCTTGAAAGGGGAAAAAAACCATCCTGTAACACTGGTGAAATGCAAGCTGAAGGCTAACAAGAGTTTGCAGACAATATTGGCAGCTACAAATAAAGCCGGTAGCCGCTTCACTTTGCTGTACAGAGTCATGTCTCGGGATATCCCAGTAGCTTCCCTAAAACAACTAGAAAAAAAGGACAATAGCAAAAAGGTACCTAATAGCGATGGCCTCCAGACTAATAGCGATGGCCTTCAACGTAAGAGCGATGGCCTCCAACTCAAGCCCATTTGGGTTCCAACTGAGAGAAGAATATGCATAGATATCAGCAACTTAGCGTTGAAGAATGGTCTTGTTCTTGAGCATGTTCTTCAAAACGTCTAGGGACCAAATCAAAGTCTGTAGCCCTTACTTAATTGAGTAGGCGCCTACAAACAAAGCTTCACCCGTAGCATCCAACTCTTATTCTGAAGTGTTTCCAGGGTGGCCATGGTGAGCTCTTTCGTGAACCGTTCCAATCGCTCAGGACAAGCCCCAACGGAAGAGGGACGGCAGCAGGGGGGCTGAGATGGGCTGAGATGGGCTGAGAGCTGAGAGACTTTTGGAGAGGGACGGTGAGACTCCTGGCTTCTAGTAGCGTCCTTTGCTCCTAGTAGCGAGGCCAGGAGCCCCTAGTAGCTTCTTGTTACTACTAGTAAGGTAGAAGCGATGCACTTGTTACTAGTAGCTTCTAGTTACTAGTAGCTTCTTGTTACTACTAGTAAGGCACTTGTTACTAGAAGCGATGCACTT